CTCCCACCCAGCAGAGCCTGGCAGCAATCGCCGCCCCGCCACCTCTGTTTTGTAAGGACTCCTGGGCTGTTTTATTGCCCAGCTTTGGAGCGAGGTGGGTGCCTGCACCCCACGCACACACCCCGTGCACCCTCCTGGCCTCCACCGCCGGCCCGGAGCGATGCTTCAAAGCTAGGCTGGGTCCCCTTTGCTGCTGGACATGGGGTTCCCATGGAAGAAGGACCCGAAATTCCGCTTTGGAGACAGCCTGGCGGCACATCCCAGCTGTGACTCGGGTAAATCCAGGATCATTTTCCTCCTGACGCATCCCAGCATTGTCCGTAAGGGCAGGCGGTGCAGAGGGATTTGGAAACCCCCTAAATTTCCTTGTTCTGTGGAAAACTTGTGTCTGGCAAGGCAGCGAGGAGCCGTCACACAGGTCAGTCCCCTTTGCCCTGTGGGGGAGCTGGGCTGGCCGCTCGGCATCGCTGCTGGCAGCATCTGCTCCCTGGGACGGCATCGTCCCTGCCTGGCCGGGCACAGCCGGGGCGTGGGGTGTCCCAACATGGTGTGCCCAAGGAGGTGACAGCCGCCAGCTCCTGTGCCGAAGCGGTGGGCGAGTGTGGCCCTACCACCGGCATCGTGGCGGGGAGCAGAGCGGGGAGGGCAGGCGACCAGGAAACTTGCACTGCAGGTCCCTGCGTGGGGAGCGTGTCGGACGAGATTGCGTCTCGGGGAGGGAAGGAGTGGCCCGGAGTTTCAGTGAACGCCTTCCTCCCTGCCTGAAACTCCCCAGCACCCTGGCAGGGACGCGGGGGCTCATGGCCGTGGTGGGGGGACGAGGGAGAAGTTGCATCCCCCTCACTCCTGCTTGGGGGGCTCAGGGAGGGTTTTTGCATTTGGGAGCCTTGAGCTGGGTCTCCCTTTCTGCCACCCGGCCCTTCCAGCGTGTCGTCCGCTGTCCCCTGCCAGCCCAGGTGTCACAGCAGCGTCCTTGCGTGCGATCCCTGGGCACAGCCGGCGCCCGCGGGCGCCACTCCCTCCCCTGTCATGGCTTATGCACGCTGCTGCCCCGAGCATGCCTGGCAATGGGTAATCCCAGAGCGAGCCCGGGCTGAGTCAGGGAAGGCACGTTGGGTCTGATTCAGGAGCAAGGAGACGCTCAGCAGCTGCCTCCTGCTCGCGGCGTGGGGCTGCACCCATCCGGCATCCCCGGGGTGTGTGTGTGTGTGTGCGCCGCTGGTGCAAGCCTCCTCGGGGAAAAGGGGGCAAACCGCAAGGCCGTCTCACATGGGCTGGGGACGCTGGTGCAGGGGGGATGCTGGGGTCTTCGCCCCAGCCCATGAAGCTCCTGTCCCCCCTGCCCCGCTGCTGCCGGCGGTGGCCTTGTGTGGGGCACACGTAGCCGGGCTGCTGGCTGCCGGCGCTGCCTGATTAGAGATGCAGATGCTAACGCTTGTTCCCCCTTTTTGTTGAGCGTACAAAGGCCGGGAGGGAGCGTGTGTGCGGGAGAGAGAAACCACCGAGGACAAAGAGCGCACCGGCCGCCTGCCTCCCAAGCGCCTCG